AGGGGCGGGTAGGGGAGCGTGTCGGCCGCCACCACCACCGGCTGGGCTGGGTCCTGTTGCAGGAAGGAGTCCACCAGCTCCGGCACCGCGTTGTCAAAAGCCTCGAACTCCCGCACCAGGACCGTGACGCGGGGGCCAGCGGCAGGGGCCCGATGGGGGCCCCGAGCCCGGGAGTTCCTGGGCTGGTGCTGCAGCCACGAGACATAGAAGAGAACCAGGAGGTTGAGGGTGATGGCGGCTGCCAGGGCAGCCTGGCAGCGGGTGAGCCGCATGGGGCCGAAGTCTGGCCCTAGCTGGGCCTCTGGGGCGTCCTGGGGAGCAGGGACGAAAGCAAGGCTGGAGCTGGTTGTCAGAAACGCCCCCTCCACCAACGCTTGGCCTTGCCCTTCCCCGAGCCCTCTCAATTTCCCTCCTCCAGGAAGCCCTCCATGACCTCCCAGGCTGGATCATGCAGCCCCTCTGGGCTTCCTCTGCCCCCTGGCCTGGCCGCTTTGAGTCATCAGTGCTTCGGGAAGAGTCTGAGTCCCCCACTGAATTGTGAGCCCCAGGAGGGCAGGACTTGTGCCTGTCTAGGTCACTGCTGGGTTCCCAACACCACCCAGCATAGAGCCAGATACACATTAGGTGCTCAGTAGTTTTTGTTCAAATGAATCACCTTCCCTTCTTCCCTGTTCAGTCCCACCCTTTGCCTGTCAAATTCCCATTCTGAATCAGGTTCAGTTATAAACACCCCAACCCATTCCCAAGCTCCACTTGCATCTCTCTCTACCTTTCCCTCCTCCCGGATCTCTCCCTCCCTATCCTCTTACACCCTGGTCCTGGCTTCAGGAGGGGGCTGATGCTACAGCCCCTGGGAGTTGCCCCCAAGTCCCTCCCTTGCTGCCCCCTTTTCACTTCCTCAAACCCTGTGCTGTCTGGGTGTGGTGGCTTAGCCTGTAATCCCAGCACTTTGGGAGCCGAGAGGACTGCCTGAGCCCAGGGGTTTGAGACCAGCCTGGGCAACTTGGCGAGACCTCGTCTCGACAATAAATCAAAAAATTAGCCGGGTGTGGTGGTGTGCACCTGTAGTTTCAGCTACTTGGAAGGCTGAGGCTGAAGGACTGCCTGAGTCTAGCAGGTCGAGGCTGAGGTGGCCGTGAGCGTGCCACTGCACTCCAACCTGGGTGACTGAGTGAGAGTCCAACTCAAAAAAAACCAAACCAAAACAAAACAAAACACTGTGCCACCCTGATAGCTCCCTGATTGTCAGGGACATCCCAACTGGGTTGGTTTTGCAAGAAAATCAGAAATGTTTTAATTCTTTTTTAAAATCAGGATTACCCTTTTTTTTCCCTTTTTTTTTTGTAGAGAAGGGTCTAGCTATGTTGCCCAGGCTGGTCTTAAACTCCTGGGTTCAAGTGATTTTCCACACCTTGGTGCTGGGATTACAGGAGTGAGCCACTGCACCTGGCCTATCCCCATTCTTAGATGTTGGGTGTACTAATTAATTTTTCTTAATGGAGTGGGTCAAAGTCATAGAAACAGAAAGTAGAATGGTGGGTGTGGGGAGGGGTAATGGGGAGTTGTCTGATGGGTGCAGAGTTTCAGTTTGGGGAGACAGAAGAGCCCTGGAGGTGTGTGTGCACAACCGTGTGAGTGTACTTAACACTGTTTGTTGAACTGTGTACTGAACAATGGGTGAGATGGTACATTTTATGTGATATATATATATATGTATATATATTTATATATATATTTTTGAGTCTCACTCTGTCACCCAGGCTGGAGTGTAGTGGCACACTCATGGCCACCACAGTTTCGACCTGCCAGGCTCAGGCAATCCTTCTACCTCAGCCTTCCAAGTAGCTGGAACTACAGGCATGCACCACCATTCCAAGCTAATTTTGTAATTTATTGTAGAGACGAGGTCTTGTCAAGGTGTCCAGGCTAGTCTGAAACCCCTGGGCTCAGGCAATCCTCTCGCCTTGGCCTCCCAAAGTGCTGGGATTACAGGCGTGAACCACCGCGCCCAGCTACCATGGAAGATTTTTATATGTTTCTGCCCTTCCTAGAGAGAGGAAACGAATCCTCCTTCGTCCTAAGTACTTCTGCCCCATCCCCACTTCCACAGTTCCCTCCTCAACAGGGTCCAGTTAAATTCCCTCCCTCTGGGTCTCCTGCTCAGTCCCCTCCTCATGGTAGTCAGAGGAATCTTCCTAAAACACACGTCAGACCTCTCCCTTCCTTGGTCAGAACTTGCCATGTCTCCCGGTGTCTGGGGGAGAAAGTCAAAGTTTGTTACAACGTTCCACTCTCTTGCCATGCTTCCTTCAAACTCTATGCCCTGAACTTTTTCTCCAACGATCTTATTTCCCAGCGATCACACATTCTTTTGTCTGGAAAACCCTTTCCCCACACCTCTTCTCCTGGAGACCTGCTCCTTACACTTGAGGCCTCAGCCCACATGCCCCCTCCTCCAGGAAGCCTTTCCTGAACCCCCGGCTGGGCTAGGGACTGCCTCCAGGCTCTCACAGCCCCTGGCCTCCCCCATCCCAGCTCTGCCCATTCTGGTGTGGGGAAGACTTTGAGCCCTGGGAGGGCAGAGCCAGGGCAGTCTCAGTCACCACTGTGTCCTCAGCACTGAGAATTTTCTTGGCAAAAAAATGATGGGCTTGTGTGTTCATAAAGCTCACTGAGGTCCCCAGAGCTGAGCTCTGACATATTGCAGTGTGCCTGGGTCCTGCCCTGATCTTTCTTTTCTCTCTCTTCTACCAGGAATGCCCTCCCAGCCCTCTTTAGCCACTCTAGTCCTGCTTGCTGTTTTTTTTAAGTTTTCAAACAAAGGTTATCAGAGAAAGAAGGGAGAAAAGAAACAGAGACATGCCAGAGTTGGCATGAGCGAAAGAAACCGCCTTTTTTTTTCTTTGGGTTGGAGTCTCACTCTATCACCCAGACTGGAGTGCAGTAGCACGCTCCCGGCCACCGCAGCCTCGACCTGCTGGGCTCCGGCGATCCTTC